CGTTATAACAGGATTAAACTTTACAAACAGAGAGGTACCTCCAGAGTAACACCCAGACTCAGTACCCCAGCACAACTCAGTCTGAAATGCACAGAGGAGTTAAATGATTCATTAACTGGAACCCATCAGGAGTTTTCCTGCTATTGCCAAATATGCCCATGCTTAAAACTGATATGGCTGCTAAGACTTAACTTCTTTTGAAGCACAGACCCTTTAGGTTATACTTATTTCCCTCACAAGGCAACCCAGTCCCGGATTACTTAACCGCGCTATATCCACCACACTAACCTACCTAATGCCTAAACACAAATTGCATTTCAAAAATACAATCTTAAAATCCTTTTCTAGTTTCACTATCAGATTCTATAAGGCATCCTTTCATCTCCAACTAGCACAAGGTAGTTTGAAAACAAACAAAAAGGAAGTGGCTCTTCACAACAGGTGTGTTCTGCTGTAGGACCCCTTGCGAGGGAGGCTGCAAGGCTCAGAGGGAGGTCGGGCAAGTTTACAGAACAGAAATCACTTCAGTTGCTAATGAGAAATAAACTATGCCTGACTGCATGTTTCTCTGGGGTGGGGGAGCATCGAGAGATCACTTAGCTGAAATATGATCTACAATTTCCTTGTCCTTACACACTTCCTTAGGCATTTGGGTTCAGACAGGGCTGAGGACAGGTGCCAGTCTGAGCAGCTGGACAGTCCTCCTGCACCAGGATGAGTCCCAGCACCAAGCTCAGATGTTCCAGCCCTTCCTGAAGGCAATTCTGACCCCATGCACACTGCTGTGGAGCAAATGATCAGCAATAATGAAACAGAATGCACAGTATTACACACTGAGACTTAACCAAATCCTGTTTCAACCCACTGACTCAAACTGAGCAAAAAAGTTTCACAATTTGTAAACTTTACCTTTTTAAGGAAAAAGCTAGCCATTTTTTCAGTTCCACACAAAACTAAATAGCTCCAGATACAGTTAAAGAATAACAGAAGTTTTGTGAATTTTTAATGCAGTTCACTATTACATTCCAAATGAAATTTCGTACTTCCAGCCAAATCAGAACTGCTTTACTGATCACCTGAAGTTCTACTGATCCATTACCAAGTCTAATAACTTTGAATTCAACCTGTCCACATGCACAGATGAGTCCTTAGTATTCTTAGCTGAATCATGGAGCAAAAATTACTGAATCTGTGACAAACACACATTTGCCTCTTCCCCACTCTTATCAGAATCAGATGTAAGAAGAAATTCCACCAGAAAAATTTTTTCAAGAGGCTGCCAACTGATTCTACAGATTCAGCTAAAGGGCAGAATTCAGTGCATTTCTCCGAACAGATTCTCCTCATCTCTCTGCAGAGGATACAAGAACAAAATTAGAAAAGGGGCAGGGGTCACGGCTATGGTAACACAGCAACCTCACAGATTTGTACAAGCCTTTGTGAGCAGCCAAGACCATATTTTCATTTTTTAGTTGAGAACTTTAAGATACTGAATCTTGAAATGGATTATAATTTGGCCAACTGAAATTTCACCCAAACACACTTGGCAATCAATTCCACCAATTATAACCCATACATAGTGCCTTGGCTGCAGCCTAGCATAAAGGACATAGTTACTTAGAAACATGCTTTCAGTTTCAGGGATGAAAAGCAAATCTTAATTAAGAAAACTGTTGAATTGTTTAGATTGAAGGTGAAAATTCTACCTCCTGTCTTTAAGCAATACAGCAGTTTTCTTAAACTGCTGAAAAGAGCCCTGCATTGGTAACTCTGAAAGGAGGCCAATATGATTTAACCAGGTGAGACTACCCTTGGAGTGTGTGCTCTGCACCTACTGTTGCAGGCTCAGAGTTGTGTCTTTGTTTTTCTATGTGTAGGGAGAGAAAAATCTAGCCCCTCTGAGGTTTGGGATCTAACCCATCTTTGTATCATTTTTAATACTGATTTTCCTGTGGCTTAAATCAATCCTCCCACTACGCACGGGAGGCTACTGGGATGTGTCCTGTGAACCCCCTCCTCCTTTTCCCCTAGCAGACTTCTGCCTGATGACCTCATTCTCCACTCATATCTTCTCATCCCATCTGTAGGCCAATAAGTCATAAATCTGTCCCTTCTTTCATGGCTTGTCTCATTTAATCTCATCCTGTCTCATGTCTCTGCTTGGGTGTTTTGCTGTCAGTTATGAGTCACTATAACTCAGACTTAATTCAGATGTGAAACTCTCTTCCCTCCCCACATTACTGTTCAATAAATGCTACTTATGTCCAATGAGTGCCCTGCCTTCAGAAAAAAAAAAAATAAGGGGGGGGGAAACCCCTACACTAATTGATGTTGACAACATTGTCCAGGAAACCAAACTTACAGACCACAATTTTGGGAACTTTAAAAATTTGAGAGTTTTGCAAAGTTTTATAATTAGGAAAAGTTCCTTTTAAAGCGACATCATCTTCTTGAAATACTGATTATGATAAAATACTGACTGCAAGTTTCTCCGGGCCCAAAATTACACAAAATTTGTGAAATGGAAGCACTCCTTCTGTGAAAACAGAACCAAATTAAAAGCTGTGTCTCTCAAACACAGCAACACTTGCAAGCAGCTTTGTTATACCTGTAACTTGTTTAGAAAATAGTGTATCGTGGCAGTGTTAGAAACATGAAGGGTTTGCAAAAGCATTAAGTGCATTTTTTCCCCAAAGAAGGAAAAAAAATTCCTTTCTAAAATAGCTTGTTAGTCATAGTTACCCAAATCATATACAGTCTGAAATTTCTTATAGGAAAATCCGACTTTTAGAGTTTTCTTATTTTGAGGAATGATCATAGTCTGAAATTCAAAGTCTATTTTCCCCATAATGGTAAGTTTTCAGAACATTAAGGAAGGTTAGTATTTGTCATCTAAAATACTAGATGTTTGATTTGACCACCACCTTTGGGTATAGAATGAGTCCATAATTTCAGCTTATAGAATGTTCTCAGGTACTATTCTTCCCATCTATTGTCAATAAAATTGGTGTAAGGCTTGTTTCTCCTGTCTTTAAGTAACTCTTTGGAATGAACTGCATAACAGAGCAGTAAAACTTCTTTAATCTCAAGCATACTTATTTTTAAAAGGTTTAAAAGTTTAAATTATTTAGATACAACTAATCTTCTTAAAGAAAACAGTATAATTCTTCAAAGCTGAACAGAAACCTTTTCTAAGTCTACATCAGGAGATTTTGACAGGAGTTTCCTGTTCTTACAGAGAAAACTGTAGTTCTAAAGTGAGACTGAGGATGTTTCTGAAGGCTAATGAGCTGGCTTTAGGTTCTAAAAACACTTGGTAGAAAACCAAGAATTTTCACCATTGGCTTTACTTTTTTGGGACACCATGGCAAGCAACTACTTGCATTGGAGGTCCAATGCTGAAAAAAAAGGTTAAAAAAAAGACAAAATACTGAAAGGAAAAGTACTAATAATACTGCATACTAAACCATCATTCACTGGTCCCATGTATTACATCTGCATTATGTGCAGCAAAACCTGGATTTACTATCACTTTTCCATATAACTTATCTGAGGTTCTCTCAAATGAAGCAAACTGCATGAAGTCCCAGAAGCAGTTTGGTAGCAGAATCTGAAAGGGTACATCAACAGTGTCTATGAACACACTGCCAAAACCACAGGAATGGACACATCAAAAATACCAATGTGCAGAAATATCTGGAAGCTGATAGAATGTGCAATTCAGGAAAAAAATAATACCCACAGTAACTTTACTGTTTACTTGCATCTGCTTTTCAGACAGTCACATATGATATAACATTCAACAAGAGTGATTTTTCACATATCAGTGATATAACCATTAAATATATACCCTCAGGAGATACCTCTGCTTTTATGGGTTTGTTTAAAATACTTCATTATGAACAATTGTTAATTATAACAGCTTAATCATTGCAATGAGATAACACAAGACCGCAATGACTGTACAAATAAAATGTTTTCTCTGAATGCACCTTGGTATTGGTGCACTCAGCAAGCAAAACTCTTACCTTTACTCCCATTAACTCTTACCTTTACTCCCATTACCTTTACTCCCATTAGCAGCTCATTTGCTTCCCCCAATTAATCAGCTACAAAGCTGTGTACAGCCAACCTCTGCACTTACACCACCATACAAACACATATGTAATTACTTGCTGCCATTAAGTTGTCACTTTACACATCCATAGCACGTATGTCATCATCTGCTTACACAGAGCATGGAGAAGGAATCACACAAGCATTCTCCCTGCTTCAGAGACATGGAACATAGACTCAACAGAGCTGTGCTACTTTCTCCTGTATGTATTCATAGAACAAAAATCTATTTTCCTATTATCCAGAAAACTACAACGTTTCTTTAGATTGTTTTTACTTTTCAACCAGGAAGTCTTATTTCTGCACTGAGAAGAACTGTAGAAGTCTTATTTTCTTTCAGCTGTATACAGGACATATAAACAGCCTAAAGCTCGCAAAAATCCTTGAGGCCTGGCAAGTGACACAGGACCTCTGGCATCCCCAGGATCCAAAATTAATTTCTTCCTCACTGTAGGCCTAGCCCAGGAACCTAATCCCTGAGGTCACTGGGAGTGTCATAGTGCCTTAGCCCACCTGCAGAGGAGGGGCTGTTCACTCTGCTCCAGTGGAAGTCAGAGAAGGATCCTCTTTCTCCACCACTTCTCAGATGGCCATCAGTGCACTGGGCAGTAACAGATGGTAAAATCTGACCTGGCTAACAGATGTCATGGACAGCAGCATCAATGAGTGCTGAACTTGGAGCTGCAACTCTACCTTTACAAACCTGCCTCCATCTTTAAGTTGAATGGGGGCATTCTGACTAAACAGCTTTCATCTTTTACATGACTTTTTGTTTATTTAGATAATAAAAGCACCCACTTTGTGTGAGTTAACAAGCACAAGTACAGCAGAGCATACCATGTGTGTGCACCAATTACTGCTGTAGGATATGAAAGTGCAAATACCTGAATACCTTGCAGATTAGTCTCCAGTGGTTCTTCTTTGTGTGTTCTGAGTTCATTTTGCCAGATTACTTCTTTTTCTTTTTAGGGGCAGCCTGAGACAGATATGCTGGAACAGCAGAAGAAAAAGCCATCTGAGTATGAATTTAGTCAGAAAAGACAGAATAAACACTGCAGAAGTCAAAACATCATTATTAAAGTACTGCTACCCCCTACAGTCTATTTGACTGATAAATGCAACATACCATGCAGAACAGGTAAACAAGCAACAGCAAACAAACCATGTCATTTCATAGGAAAGGATGGAAAATATTTGCACTGCTCCTTTAGCAATTGTTTTGAACCTCCTGAACTGAACCACCCTCAAGACTACTGGCAGTGCTTGAAGCTTTGCTGGATTTAGTGGCTGCTTTGCCAACCCTTCTCCTGCTCCCCTTCTTCCCCTTCCCCTGTTTTAGCTGGGGTACAACATCTGCATACACAGACACCTCACTGGCTTAGGCCAGCTCACCCACAGTGTTGCACATTACAGGAAAGCTACAATCCAAACCTAATGAAAACTTTCCATCTCTTGGTTACTGAGGAACTGGGGATACATGATTTGTCACCAAGACCATATCAACTGCCACAAAAATCGGCATAAGCTTGCATTGAGTAAAGTGATGCTGCACCATTTCATACAAGCAGAGAATTTGGGAAAATGTCCTGAGAAATTCTTCTAAATTCATCAGAATGAACACCACAGAATTGTTTTCTCTTGAGGCCAGTAAGAAAATGTGTGTTCTACCTGTGTGAAAGAGTCAGTTAACTGACCTTAATATGAAGATAAATCATCATAAGTACACATATTGCAACTTCACATAGAGCTGGGTGAGAACAGAAACATTACAGAATGCCCAGAGTATACTTCATTTCTCCTTCGTTGGTATTTTCCTTGATTCTGCTCATCTTTCAAATCTCCAGGCAGCCCCACCAAGCAGACACTGCCATGGGCCATTTCAGGCACAAGTCCAAGTCTCCTCTAAGCCTGCTTCTCCCAGTCCTTGCCTCTCCTTCCCATTCTGTCCTGATAACTGCATGGCAGATTGATGTGTCACCTCATCACAGGTCAGACGGCAGCACAGAGGTCTAATTAAAATCCAGATCCAGTAGCAAAAGACCCACCCACTTGTTCCCAATTTCAAACACTTCTGTCTGCTAAGTTTTTACCCTTCTCTGAACATAAGGCTCTACACGTCCATTTCAAACAGGTTCTAAAATGTATTTACTGTGCATGTAAAGTACTTTGCATAAAGGTATTTTTTTCATATTGAATATCGCTGAGCTTGGGTCTCTTATGAATATTGAGGCAAGCCTGAGATTTTTGAAACTTGGGGTAATGTGATTTTAGAAGATACAATCTTCCCTAAAAGCAATTCTAAAGATTTTGGGTCCCTCTGAAGATTGCTGAACCTGATCACCCAAAATCACCCATTGTTTTAAAACATTAAGGCAAGGTATATTGTGAAAAAGGACAGAGTGGCCACTATTTGGGTGAGATGAAATGATTTACATATCAGTAACATCCCATGGAGCTCAAAACCACGTCCTTTCCTGGCAGGCAAATTCTGCCAGTAGCTGTAAGTATATAATCTCCCTATAGTAAACTGTAAGGCTAGAGTGGAAAATTATAGATAAACTGTGCACTGAGTAACTAGAGGGAGTCTAAAGTTGAGGATCTAATAATTAAGTCTTACCTCTATCAAGGTGCAACAAGAATAAGCTGAGAAATGCAAGATTGCCTGACAAGACCCCAGGCTCTCCACAGCTGCAGAGATGCCTCATTGTTCTGGAGAATTTTAGGGCTGATCTCCTGTGGAGGGAACATGAGACATTTCTTTTTGCTTCCCTGCTGCTGATGCAGGTGTCTGGAAGGTACATTTACCCATACACTCCCTTCACACACTCCCAGTGCTGGCTTCCCCTTTTCAGGGCTGCTCAGGCACAGTGAGCAGCAGGTGCACAGGGAACAGCTCTGGGGCAGCCAAACTTCGGCTGGCCTGTGGCAGGGAAAGCCCAGGGAAAACTCTCTTTTAAAAAAGAGATGTCTTCCTTGGAGCTCTTCCATTTCAAGCTCTGCTTTGCACAAGCAACTATCCTAGATTTATGATTTCCTGGTGATTATTGCATATTCAACAGCAGCTGACACTTCACCCTGCAGACTGAAGGGAACACCCAGGACAAGCAGGTGGTCACTCCTTCCCCTGGACTCTTCCTCTGGATTTCTCTGGATGTGACAGTGCCTGAGTAACAAGTTTATGGGACTCTTCCTCCAAACCCAAGACAGTTTCTCTCTGAAATGTGCAAATGATATGGCACCAAGTTCTTCCATTTTACATTTGCATGGTACTATGGATTCTCAGCTTTCTCCTGCTCTGACAGAAACCGTATCATGGGTTGCTACAAATTCCCACTGAAAGCAAGTGGAATGCTCTCACTCGCTTCAAGGAGAGCCAGAATGGCTTTTGTGTTAAAGTACAGCAAATGATATCTATTCTCTTGGGCAGCATAAAATAGTGTACTTGGTACATAAAAGCTGTTTGGCTAAGAAAAAGGACCCAAAATTTCTCTCTTTAGTACTTCAAACCTTTTAAATGACTATGGCCCTCCAGGCATCTGCAGTACTTTAATAGGGCAGTGGAGGAAGAAAAACTGGAAAACACACAACTGAAATATGAGTAAATGACTGAATCTACAACACAGACCTGTAGCAAGCCTGGTTTCACTGCCAGTGAAGTCCAAGACAAGTTTCATCTTCACAGCAAGCAGCAGAACATTTTTACTCAGTATGAAAAAGCATGAACACTTTACCAGTTCATATATTTAAAACATGTTGCCCGTAATTGGGTCAAGTGAACGTTTACACCACATGATTTTTCCTCCCAAGTTCCTAAAGCTCTTGCAAAGTCCAGAGCCTTCTTTTTGTACTTTCTGAGAGAGACAAAACAGTATGAAAAGTCTGGGTTAGCTCTACACCTTCCTTTCTCAAGCAGAAGACAAATGTGTCATTCTTACTTCAAGATTAAGTTATATTACCTGGGATATTGTTGTGGATTTAAAATCTGATTTAATTCACCCCAACATCAACTTACAGAGCAAAATCTGACCTTTCCTTACACAGCCTGCAAAAAAGTATCCCTGGCAGGCTGAAGCACACAGATAGGAACAAATACCTTTATCTGTTCCAGGGTTTGCACACACACACTCTTTGCAGCCTGCAGTGCCCACTTTGGTAATTCTGAAATCTAAGCCCTGCACGGTACCACTGCTATTTGTACCGCAATATTTGCTATTTGACTGGGGGATGAGATCCACAAAGAATACCACTTAAAAAGAAATTCTGACCCATAAAGTCACTATCCTACTCCATAGGTGTTTTCTCTGCCAAATGCAACTGGTCCAAGTCTGTCATCATGGGTCCCATCTGCCTCTCCGGTGACCCCGTACTGGTAAATCCTACGCAGGTAAATCCCCGAGGAGCTTGTTCCAGGAAGGGCCTCTAATGCTGCATGTGGAGAGGGCAGATGGGACTTGCAGCAAGCCACAGCTTGATCATCCTGAGAAAATGCCACTCCATAGCCAGCACCTCTCCTTTAACACAGGTATGGGGGGCCCAAAAAGCCCCTAAAGCAAAGGAACAGCCCTGCTTGGCCTCACAGGGGCTTTAAAGGCTGTGAAAAAAATCAAATGCTACATGAATAACATCCAAGAGTCACAGGCACAGCCTTTGTTAGTGCTGAATGCAATGATGATGATGATTTGAAAAAGCCAAACTTTACATCAAGAATCTGACTGAAGGGATTTGGATCTGACTAGACGGTTTAAGCTAGGAGATGTTCCTTACAGTAACCCAATCTAGCTCAATGAGACTGTTACATCAAATCCATATTTTTATTTTTACATGCACAGTGGAACTGCACTACCAAACATATTGACTTGAGCTGGCCACAAAGGAAAGTGCTGGCAAAAACTATTCTGAAATAATTTTAGTTACAATAAAATGCCTGTGCTGCTCTGGCATGTTCCATCAAGAAACGGTTCACAAGGCTCTGCCTTGAAGCTTACACTTATTACTTACATGAACAGAACCCAGCACTTAGGATGAACCATCTGTGTTTTAAATACAGGGGACTGAGGCATGGAAAAAGAATAATGTCCATCCTCTCCTAAGAAACAGTGAAAAATACTATCCAAAGTAAATACATGATTTGTGAACTATTACATATTGGACTTTTATTTTCAGTTAGATGTTTCCTAATCCTTTTAGGACCAAAATATCATTAGTCTAATTGAAGACTATGTGCCTTTATTTCCTCCTTCCCCTCGGAGCAAGGCCACACCAATCAGCGTGTGTTCATCCTGCAAATCAGTCTCTGGGAGCAGTGTGCTTTCCTCAGCAGCTGGATGCTGGCTTCATCACTGAGCTCCACTCAGCTGCACTGCTACTTGCCACTAAAATGCAGCACGTCAATCACTTGCACTGCTCACGAGAATTAGCACAACACAAGTCTAATTAGAAACTAAACACTGTGTTATCTGCAATGGTTTGGAGATGGAGTAAGCTGATACGTGTTTTAGGAACCTTTCTTGCCGCACAGTAGTTCGTGATAACACCCACCTCACAGCCCATTAGCGAATCAAAATATTATACTGTATAAATACTACTTTGCTCTTTTCCTTTTTACAGAAGCCCCAGGTCTCAGAAGCCTCCATTACCGAGCACATGTGTCTTGGTTATATTGGAACATTGTAGGAAATGGAAAGCAGCCCTGACTGTCCAAAAACAGCAAAATGAAAGCCAGTATACTGTATACTTTGGTCCTGTCTCTAGAGAAGCAGCCCCAACTAGCCTCCAGACATTTTACACTGCAATACCTATTGGCAGAACCGAAGAAACTCTACCCTGCGTGACACTGCATGGACTGTGAGTCCGTCTGCGCTCGGCTGATCCCTTTTGCTCGCTCTTTCCTGAAGAAAACAATGTAACCCACTATAAATCCAGACAACACTACTTCAAGCTTCAACCTGGAATCCAAACATGAGCAGGGGGAAACCTGGCAAAGAGCTGAA